GAGGGCACTTTGGGGATGAGCACTGAGTGTTATGTAGAAACTAATTTGACAATAAACTATTTGTAAAAAAAAAAAAAAAAAAAAAAATAAAAGAATATAACCTTTACCCTAGCAATTTCATTTCAAGAAATTCATTCTACTGGTATTCTTGCACAAGAATACAAACAGGTATAACGTTATTAACTGCAGTTTGATATGTAATAATACAGAATACTTTTCAGACTCTACATGTCTATCATCAGGGGACCAATTTTGTAAATGACAATTCATCTATAAATGTAATAAATTGTATGGCTACTAAAGGAATCATGAAAATAACAATGTTATATGTCAGTTATATTTCAATTTTTAAAATAAATAAAAGAAAGGAATCTGTTCTTTTTATGTACAGATAAGAAGGCAGCTTTGAGATACAATGGGAATGAAATAACAAAACATAAAGTAGTACATGTCATTGCATTGGCACTAGTATGAAGCAAAACAGTTGTGCAATAACCATAATAGGCATTCAGAATGGAAATAAAGCAATGTGAATTCACAGTAGCAAAAAAGGTAAACTACTGCCTAATTTTAAGGAAAGAAAATTTAATAAATTTTACTGAGATTTCAACACTTTGAGTATAAAGGATGATATATATGTATGCATATATACAGAGTATCTTTGCAGGGTTACTTAAACTGTTAAGAGCTGTTGCCTTAAAAAGAGACATAAAGAGTAGGTGTAAAAGGAAACTTAGATTTCACTGTATACTTTTTGGCACTGTTTAAACTTAATAGAAATGTGCATATTAGCTATCAAAAATTAAATATTTAAAAAAAGGAAATAAAAAGAAAATAAAGCTTACCGGGCTGGACAAGTGGCTTTGTAGAGCTGACAAGACCTGCTTTCCTGTTCATTGATTTTTTTTAACTGGAAACCTTTTCTCCTTGGCCCATACTGACACTCCATTACCACGGCTCTACTCCCTGTAGGCCAAAACCAACTATTGATATTAATTCAAGTATCCATCTGTTCTGGACACTAAAATAAAAATAACTCAGTGGTGGCAATGTCAAAATTTATACTTTCAATTATGCAACCTTGAGGAAAGAAAACATCAGTACGTCTTACTAAGATGTACAAACATATAAATTAAAAAGTTTATTATAACTTACCTAATATACATTATGGTAAAGAAATTTGATAATACCACATTTACTGAATGTTAACTGATATTTACATACATATAATTTTTAGTAATAAAATTTGCCACCTTATAAGTAGAAATTAGCAAAAGGTACATTTGATAGTAAATACTGTCATTTAAAGTTTTATTTCATTGTATAACTATTTATTTCCTTATTTTTATTTGTACTATTAGAATACAGTAGTCCCCCATTATCTGCGGGGGATATGTTCCAAGACCCACAGTGAATGCCTGAAATGATAGACTGTACTAAATCCTATATAAACTATGTTTTTTCCTATATGTATATGCCTATGATAAAGTTTAATTAATAACTCAAGGCACAGTAAGAGATTAACTACTATAGTTAATAAAATAGAACAATTATAATATACTGTCATAAAAGTTATATGAATGGGGTCTCTCTCAAAATATTTTATTGTACTGTACTCACCCTTCTTCCTGTGATGATGTGAGATGATAAAATGCATATGTGATGAGATGAAGTGAGGTAAATGACGTAGGCATTGTGATGTAGCATTAGGCTACTACTGACCTTCTGACAAAACGTCAGGAGGATCATCTGCTTCCAGACTGAGGTTGAGAACAGGCAACTGAAATCTTGGAAAAGTGAAGCTGCGGATAAGGGGGGACTACAATAATGTAATAACCAGCCTGTAAGATGACCCCCAATGATCCCCATCTCCCTAGTACTCATGTCCTTGTGTAATTCCCTCCCCTTGAGCATGGGCTAGACTTATTAACTTACTTCTAATGAATATGGCAGAAGTGACAAGATGCTATTTTTGATACTAGGTTATAAAAAGACTATGATTTCCATCCTGGGTACTCTCTTGTTCTTGCTTGGATTGCTCTCTCTGTGCCAGTCAGCTGTCTGTGGTGAGGCAGCTCTGTGGGGAGCCCCCAGGTGGCAACGAAAAAGCAAGATGAGTGAGCTTGGAAGCACCCTGCCCAGCCAAGCGGTAAGATGACTGCAGCTCCAACCAACACCTTAATAGCAGTCTTGTGACAGAACCTGAGCAAAACTATCTTGCTAAGCCACTCTTGGATTCCTGACCCATAGGAACAATGAGATAAATATTTGTTGTTTTCAGCCATCAGGTTTTGGGTAATTTGTTACATAGCAAAAGAATACAAATAAGTGGATGTGAAAACTATAAAGTTTGTGACTAATTTAAGTCAAATATCCAATCTATGTAGAATATAGCAGAGCACAGCAAACTTTTCAAATATAAAAAACACCAGTCATAAATAAAAATGTTGATAAAGCTGACATGAAAATTTTAAACTTTAACATTTTAAATTTAAATAAAAAAATTTTAATTTAAAAGATACCATAAGGGGCCCCTGGGTGGCTCAGTTGGTTACGCATCCCACTTTGGCTCAGGTCATGACCTCATGGTTCATGGGTTTGAGCCCTGCATCAGGCTCTGTGCTTCTGGCTAGCTCAGAGCTTAGAGCCTGTCTTCAGATTCCGTGTCTCCCTCTCTCTCTGACCCTCCCTGCTTATGCTGTCTCTGTCTCTCTCTCAGAAGTAAATAAAACATTTAAAAAAAAAAAAAAAAGACACCATAAATAGGTAAAAATGTTTAAAAAACATGTAACAAAGAATATGCAGAATATAAAGAACCACAAATAATTTTTAAAAATAAAGAACCAAACCGAAAAATGGGGCAAAGACTATGAAAAGTAATTCAAAAAGAAAAAAAAAGATGTTTGGCTTTATTACTGAATATGGAAATATAAGTTAAAGCAATAGTAAAATAACATTTCATACCCTTTGGATTGGCAAAAACAAATTTTGACAATACTCTATAATAACTGAACCCACTGACCAATCTTAACATCACGAAAAGGTACTGCACATAGGTAGCAATAAGATGTAGACGGCACACCAATGAAGTATTCTTGTACAATAATGGAGATTAAACCCTCATTTAATCAAGCCTCTAGATCTACAGTTCACTGGAAATAGAGGAGATTTTTTTTTTAAACGCTAAACTACATCACAGAGATGGGAATCAGCAAAACTCAGAATATGGCAAACTCTACAGGACAAACTACCTGGGGGAAAAGAGAAGAGAAATTTTTAGATGAAAAGAAATTTAAGAGGTAAATTAACCAAATGTGATCTGTGAACTCTCGATGTGAATTTGAACAAACTTATGGAAAAGGAATTCTTAGATAAGTAAAAAAATGTGAACTTTGGACATTTTATGACAATAAGAAATTACTGTTAATTCTTTTAAAGTATAATAATGTAACTGTCATTTAACATATGCATGTATAAAAAGAGTCCTTACCTTTTAGAGATATATACATCAGTATATGATATATACTTTGGTAATTACACATAAAACAATGGGATATCTGGAATTTGCTGGAAAATCATCTTGGAGGTAGGAATGAAGAAATGGGTAGGGATATACATGAGACAAGACTGACTGCATGCTAAGAGTTGTTGAAGCCGAATGATGAATACATGGAATCATGGGATTTCATATATTATTACCTTTACTTTGAAATATGTGTATGGGGGGTGTGTGTGTGTGTGTGTACACACACAGATAGATATGTATATATACACATATACATACATATATATCTTCCAGAATATAAAGATTTTTAAAGTCCACAATGCTAAATCATAAAGTAAATGAAAGAAAGGGAAATTTTCATACACTGTTGAAACAAGTAAAAATTGGTACAAGTCGTCATTCCCTATAGAAAAAGTTCAGAAGACAAAATTTTTTGGAACTCATTTGACTACAAAACCTGACTTGAATTTTATGAAGCTATTTATATTCTTTGTTTATCCCTCCTAGTGTGACTATCCATAAAGTATTACTGTGTTTGATTATGTGATAGTGTCTACAGAATACTTGTTATGACTATTCTGTAATATTATATAACATTCCAAAAATTCTGAAATACATGTGGCCAAAAGATTTTAGAGAAGAGACTTAGACCTGTACAACCACTTTAGAGAGCATCTTATAAAGATGAAATGGGCATACTTTACAACTAACTCAGCAATTCCACTTTAAATCATACACTATTAACTTATTTACATCTTCTCAACAGAAAATGTATATTGTCATGATTTGACTACAGCATTCTTTGTAATACTGAAAAGTTAGAAAAATCCTAAATGATCATTAGTGGTATTATTTTTGATATTACTGATCATATGCTGGAATGTTATGTAATAGTTAAATTAAGTTCTGTAAGTATCGATATGGACCGATTTCAAGAAATAAGGGTAAAAAAAAGAAATAAGTGTGAATGAAGATTTACATAAGAATGTCTATAGTTTACTATTTATGAATATTTAAAAATATTTAAAATAAAATATATTATTATAAAGATGAACATGTATGCAAAGTATACAAATATAGACTGGAAAGATACACACCAAATTTATGTAGTGGTTGCCTGTGGAGAGTTAACAGGGATAACTGGACTAGGAATAAGAACCAGGGAGGGGGGGAAATGTTGCATTTCTTTTACAAGATAGTGATGAAACTGGGCAGAAGAGGTTACATTTATCTCATCTTCTTCTAAGTATCTTTTTTTACCCTCAGAAGTTCAGGATGAGACTGCAACTCCTTCAGCTGAATCCATATTCCCATAGTCCTGAAATAAATCACTTATTTTTATGTTCTTTGGAGTTTGACTAGTCCTAGGGTGAATCTCTGGGAATTGTTTGAAACTCTACCACTTTAGGGGTACCTGGCTGGCTCAGTTGGTAGAGCATGTGACTTTTAATCCTGGGGTTGTAAGTAGAAGCCCTACATTGGGTGTAAAGATTACTTGAAAATCTTAAAAAAATAACTCTACCACTTTAACACACATTAGCCTGGTTTTTGAGAATACCATATGTAACACATCTGATACTTGAAAATCCTAATCTTAGAATTCTGTTTAATAACTCGAGATTGCATACAAATTCTATATGGTAAGTCCAGAGTTATAAGCTATATAAAATGGACACAAATTTGTCCCATAAGACAAATCAAGAGAAAAGAAGAAAACATGTGAATTGGATAAAAAAAATAATCCAACAGAGACACATATTTAAAATAATAAAATTGCTATATTAATATTTTTATTTTCTATTTATCAATAGATCTAAAGAAAGCATTATTTATTCTAATATAATACAATTTTATAATAAAATAATTGGTTATATTTAAGTTTTCTTTTTAGTTTAATATGTATTTTCATCAAATAACATTCAGCTGTCATCCACCAAAATGAAAATTTTGGTAGAAAATTTTTAGGAAAACCACATTTTCACAGTGTATCATGGGTATGCTGAACCTTAAAAAAAAAATTATTTTAAAAGGTACCTGCATTGACAAATGGAATTCCATCATACGGAACATACTGAGATTTCCACATCAAGCGTGTAGCCGGCTTGGCTGGGCTTGGAGATTGGCGGGTCCCCCAAACACTCTGAGTCTGCTGCTTGTGAAATGTTAGGACACTTTCTAATTCAGTCTCACTTACACAGTAGCCACGGTAAGAATCTCCAATTTTCTGCATGTTATAGAAATTAAATAACAAAATTATTAGTAAATGTTTCACTGTACCAAAAATGTAATTAAGTGGTTTTCCAAGATAAAAGACTCATCAGTTTTTAAAAGAGAATGTCATTCTCCCCTCAGATCAATGGTCTATTACAACTAGTATATCTGATCTGATTTCAACCAGCGTTATCAAATAGGTATTCTCCAAGTATTTGTTAGAGAATATACTGTCAAACTCATGGCCATCCCATCAGTATCAAAATTTTGTTTGTGAGACATAATACGGAGGACACCTTGAAGAATACATTATGTATCCATTCTTCCATATATTTAAAATTCTACCTCTGGAACCAACCAGATCAGCACAAACTAGCCATAAACTAGTGGCTCCTTGTGGAGATTCTTTTATTGAAATTAATTTTGTCATGACATTAATCTTTTTGAAAACCTATGAAAATTGTGCTGTATCTCCCATATTGAAATGATATCAAAGAATTTACTCATTATATCAAGATTCTTTTCATGAAGACCTTTTTCTCAGAGAAAATTCTGTCTGAACTTAGAACCAAAAGTAGTTAATGGTTTTATTTTATGGAAATTAACTTAATTACTTTTATCTAATGGACACAGAATTTAGTAACTAACTGGGTTTCCCATTTCTGAAATGTAGATACTTAGATTATAGACAAGTGTGTGTGTGTGCACGCACATATATATGCATGTTTGTATGTTTGTGTGTATGTATAGTTCATTACGATATACATTCCTTACTTCCAATTTATGGTTGGTTACATTCTTGTTTTTTTATTCTTTAGTTTCCACTTTTAATTTCCACCTTGCTAATATATTTATGTATTTTTGTAGGCTGCCTCCATTCTTCCTAAAACAAGGAAGGTTAAGTAAATCATGTAAATAAACTCATACTATTCGCTTACAAACATCAGAGTATCCCTTAACAAAAGTAGAAGTCTGTTCTATACCAGTAGAGAAGTCTGTTAACTGTGATCTGTTACGCTAAAATGCATGAAGACCTAGAAACTGTCTCCACGATATTTATTTCCTCATTAAAGGGAATAAGAGCAGCCTTTTGCCTCATTGCACCCGAGAGAGCAAGCTGGGCTACCAGCAGCTCTACTGGAACCATCAAGGAAATTTGGCCAGGGTTCTTGTTTTTGCTGCATCAGCTCAAACCAGTGTGGTCTGATCTGGAAATACAGCCTCAACATGTGCCACCAGTGTTTCCGTCAGAACGTGAAGGATGTAGGCTTCATTAAGTTGGATTACTTACACTTCCTTGAATGGGTCATCCAAGATACCTACCTTAACTGCAGATATCCAAGATAACCTACCTTAATGTCAACTCATTGTACATAAAATAAAAATACTTCAATTATGTTTTAATGTGACAAAAAAAATGGAAGGAATAAGAGCAGATATATGGGACTAGGAATCATGTTACTGTATTAGACTGCCTATTTCACCCTACAGGAGTACATTTAACAAGGTGAAATTATCAAAATACTGCTGTGGGTGTACTTTGGGCCAAAATAAGAAGAGATCATCTAATGCCAAGCAATACATTATCTCCAATTTCCCCTAAAAATAATAAAGTGTATAGGCTTACAAAGTTTTTTCTAGTCTAGATATATCTTTACCAAAATATGGACTACCAATAAAAGTAGAAACATAAAGTCCAGCTATGACATTTTTTGAAACAAATAAAATGAGTAAAATTTTCAATGTTGTCAAAAAAAAAAAGGAAAAATTCAGCATTAGTACAATATAACCAGGCTTTATCAGAAGATAAAAGTTTAATACAGTTTTGAAATTTATCCAACACTGCATTTTGGTGAAATCTAATAAATACCCATAGAAAAATATTCTGCTGGGCAGTTTTAAGTTTCTAATAAGATGTATGACATTAGAAAAGCCACATGCAATGCATTATGGTTACAAAACATGATTTGATTTGACCACATAATTGCTAATGCTTTAATCTTTATAGCATTCTGTAAAGTGCATAATAATGATTTTAAAAACCCTCATCAAACAACAATAATAGTTACTTTTAGAGACCAGTGAAAAACTATGAGTAACAAAAAGCGTGTGGGGAAAAACAAATCTATCTATCCATCTATACATATACACTAACATATATATGACTTAGAAAAGCAACAATAGTAAACAAGTCCTAATCAATGCAATACATCACATCACATCATTACACTTGATTATTAGAAATTTGGTGGGGCACCTGGGTGGCTCTGTCAGTTAAGCGTCCGACTTCAGCTCAGGTCATGATCTCATGGTTTGTGAGTTCAAGCCCCATTCGGACTCTGTGCTGACAGATCAGAGCCTGGAGCCCGCTTCAGATTCTATGTCTCCCTCTCTCTGTGCCCTTCCCCGACTCACGTTCGCTCTCTCTCTCTCATTTTTTCTCTCTCTCTCAAATAAATAAATGTTAAAATTTTTTTTTTTTAATTTTTCAGGGGGTGCCTGGGTGGCTCAGTCGGTTAAGCGTCCAACTTTGGTTCACGTCATGATCTCACAGTTCATGAGTTTGAGCCCCACATTGGGCTCCGTGCTGACAGCTCAGTGCTTAGAGCCTGCTTCAGATTCTATGTCTCCTTCTGTCTCTGTCCCTCCCCTGGTCGCTCTTTGCCTCTCCATAATAAATAAACATTAAAATTATAAACAAAATTTTTTCAGGATGGGGTGCCTGAGTGGCTCAGTCAGTTAAGCAGTACTCTTTGGCTCAGGTCATGAGTTTGAGGTTCATAAGTTTGAGCACTGCATTGGGCTCTGTGCTGACAGCTCGGAGACAGGAGCCTGCTTCAGATTCTGTGTATCCCTCTATCTCTCTGCCCCTCACCCACTCACAATCTGTCTTTCTCTCTCAAAAATAAAATAAACATGAATTTTTTTTTTTTTTTAAAGAAATTTTCTTGGGATGCCTGGGTGGCTTAGTTAGTTGGTTGAACATCCAATCTTGATTTTGGCTCAGGTCAAGATCTCATGGTTTGTGAGATCAAGCCCCACATTGGGCTCTGTGCTGACTATGTAGAGCCTGCTTGGGATTCTCTCCCTCCACCTCCTGTCACTCCCCTGTTCGTGCTCTAAATAAACTTAAAAAAAGGATAAAAAAACAAATGGTAATGATAATAAATACCAAAGAATTAAAAGAGATAAATAAATAGATAAAAGCTAAAATAATCATTAGATTATTTACAGAAAACATATATATAGCTTGCAGTGGGATTTGAAGAATGGTTAGAAAGGTAAACAGAAGAAAACATATTAGGAAATGGAAATAAAGATGAAGGCAGAGGTAAAAGAAGATTCTGAAGTGTTTGTACAAAGTAGGAAGAATAGGCTAACAAGAATAAAAGATGAGTTAGAGAAAAGTAGTAAATAAAACAGGACAAGATAAAGTAATACCAAATAATGAAAGACCTTAAAAGCTATATACAGTGGTAAATGATATGGAAAAAGTAACACTAAACCTGTTGGGCAGTAAGAAAGAATATTGAAAGCAATATTTAAAGACAAGTAGTTATAGAAAACTAGACAGTAGGGACCAGAAATGAGCTTAGAGGGAGAGAGTCAAAGAGCTTAGAGGGAAGGCTGTTACTGCAACTGAGTCCAAGGTAACAAAGGTCTGTGGAAAAGGCAGCCCCAACGCCCCACAAAAAGAAGAGAGAGATTTTAAAGGAAAAACTATTAGAGTCAAGTGATTACTTGAATATGGGAAAGAAAGAAATTAGTCTAAAACACTGTGCTGGAATGTCTAAGGAAATGGTATTTGTCATTACACAGACAAGGGATTTAGGAAGTACAACTAGTTGTAATATGGTAATTTCTGTTTAGCATATGGTGAATTCGAGGTGAAATTCAAGCAAAGCTTCAAGTAAGTAGCTGGAGATCTGAGACAAGAGCAAGGCCACAATTAAAGGACCAATGATACAGATTTGGAAATCATTTTTCTAAAAGTGAGATTTGAAAATTAACAAAGTTGATCAGCAGTCCAAAGGATAAAGTGTAGATAAAGTCAAAACAGTTTAACTTAAAGAATTTCCATTGAGAATATGAAAAGAAATAAGTGCAAGCAAAGAAAGAGAAGGGATTGTCAAAAGATAAAAAGTAGAGAAACATGATAGTGAAGTTTCATGGAAGACGAAGGAAAAGAGTTGCAAGAGAAGAAATGATAGAGAAGTATGAAGGGATTTGTATGATCTCTGCTTTAACAGAGCTTAAAAACTCTAAGGAATAAAAGCATAGATGAGAACAGAGTTAGCATAAACATCAACAAAAAATTACAGAACAAATATTATTTGTACTCAAAAGTGGACATTTGGGGATGCATTACAATCAATTTAGTGAATCTAGGTAAGGAATATTTCTAACTCACCTCACAGCTCCTAAGACGGCAGGCCCACATAGGTGTATTAGAAGAAAGTGGCTGGAGTGGAGCCAGAAATGGTTCTTCAAGCATTCTGGGAAAAGGAAGGAATATATATATAAATACATATTACAGGTTACATTCACACAAACACACACATGACATTCAACTTCTTTATCCCATTAGCCATTGTTAAAGACAATATATTGAGGTCATCAATAAGAAATTGTAGGGGTGCCTGGGTGGCTCAGTCAGTTGGGTGTCAAACTCGATTTCTCCTCGGGTCATGATCATGCAGCTCACGGGTTCAAGCCCTGAATCATCTGGCTTTGCAGATGAATCCGCTTGGGATTCTCTCTCTGCCCCTCCCCTGCTCATCTACACTCTCTCAAAATAAATGGATAAACTTTAAAAAAAATTAAAAAAATTGTAATAGTAGGAGCACCTGGCTGGCTTAGTTGGTAGAACATGTGACTCTTGATCTCAGGGTCATGAGTTTGAGCCCCATGTTGGGTGCAGAGCTTGCTTGCTTATTTACATACATACATACATACATAAAATCTTAAAAAAAAGAAATTGTAATAATAATGATAGAGTTGGTGGGCATATTCAATATAATTTTCTTTAAATGTTACCACTTCAAAAAAAATAAAATAAAATAAATGTTACCACTTCATTAGCTGCTAAAGCAAAGGCCTAAGTTTTTTCTTCCAAATATCTGTAGTCCCAACAAATTTAGGTGTTTTATATATCTCCCTCAAAGCTTACTTTGCAGTCTTCTCATTATATAAATTTTTTTCACTTATAAAAAATGAATGAAACAAATCATTTTCAGGTGATTTGTTAAGAGTTAACATAATATTATGTCAAGTTCTAAGATTAATGCCAAAAATATTGTGTTAATTTTAAGTATTTTCAAAAGTTAAAAGAATATAAATAATACAAAACCTATGTCTGCATTTCCCTAAATTATTATTATGTTAAGGCAAAAAATAAAAGCTGAAATAGATATATTAATAAAAAACATTTAAACACTTTACCACAGAGGAATTAAATGCATAAGAGATGATAAACCATTAAAAATTTCAGGAAGTCGAATGGATATTTCTTTATTCATTTTTTTTTCTTTATTCTAAAAGCCCTATTGTGACAGATGTTTTCAGATTGCTTCAAAAGAAAATGGGGAAGTATCACTGAGTAAAGTAGGATGTTATAGCTTCTAGGAAAGCCTCCTTGTTCCCAAGATGTCATTAAAATAATTAAAGATATCTGACAATTTGATTAATGTTTATTCTATTTCCTGAATTTCTGATCTTTTCTATAGCCAGCCAGCTTTAGATGTGATAATTAAAAAAAAAGATTTCCAGATGATTTCAAAAGATAAACTTCTCTCTTCCACTGACTCACCTGGCCACAGTCTTTTTGGGCAATGTGAGGGATGGTTGTGGATGAAGAGTATAATTACTAGCATTGTCCACTAGAAGATCCATTCTTACGGTTGCCAAGTTTCTGTCACTGGGTTTCTCTTCAGAGACATCTTAACAGCAGTAACAAGAACAAAGCAACATCAATATCTTGAATAAGACTATGAAAAGGTAACTCATTAGAATTCATACATTTGAAATAGGAAAAGCAAGATATGCTCTAAAGATAAAGATGTCAAAACTTATAATGCTTTTTTGATAATTTCTCCAATAAACTTGTTTAGTTTCAAATTATAATACTGACTACAGAAATTGTGTAATTAAATTTTTGAAGCTTAAATTGAATAGCTAGGATATAAAAGTGGTAGGATTGTTATGTTAACTGTTTCACAATGCATTGGGAAAATGTAAAACTCTTTCATTTCTATGCCATGTTTATTTTTTTCTGCAAACTTTTTTTTTCTTTTAGTTTTAACTGTTAACAGAGACAAAGAATCATAACACTAAGGTAAAAATATCTACTCTAAATCATTAGCCATGAATGAACAATGCAACAGTGTAGCTATGGTGTTAGAAAAGATAAAAAAGGAAGGGAAGCAAAGGATGAGAACTAACAGGGATATTATCAAACAGGTAAAGAAAGAATTTTAAAAATGGGGAGCACAACTTTCCTTTTTGAAGGAGCAAAGAGGGAAACAGCAAAGAGGATGAAAAGAATAGTTAAACAAAAGAGTAATGAGTCACGTGGCTAACAAAAGTACCAATAAAAATACAAAAGTAAAAATTTCTCAATAGCTATTAGCACTATATTCTTGTTATTATTGCTGTTATTATTACTGTTATTATAATTAAGAAGTATTTATTTTATGCTCACTGGTCATTTGGGAGGAAGCAAGAGTCAACCAGCTTCATAGAATTCCAAAATGAAATAGACAGCTAACCTAGACGGGGTTGAAAAATGAACTTGAAATTTATTTGGGCTAAGAGACTTTTTCTAATTATTCAGTTCAAAATCTTACTCAAAGAGACCAATTTTAGCACTAACTTTCATGAGGTGATTTTCTGGAATATGCATTTGTTCTTTAAAACATTCTCCAATCCCCTATATCCCAAGATTACTTACCTCGAGGACTATTCACATCCACAAGCTGCCCCTGAGGAATAATCACTTGTGCCATTCCTGTCTGGTTAGATGGAATTACATGCAGCACCTGTCCATTTTCTGATGGGCTGGGAACAATCATCTTGGAGGCATTAAAAAAAAAATCAAATGCATAAGCCAGCAATGATTTGAATGAATTATTACTTAAATTATTAAAGACATGCCTACCTCTATGGTGGATACTATTTGTTTCCCTCATTTTGTAGATGAAAACACTGAGGTACACAAAAATTTTTTTCCAAAGTCTTACAACTGATAAGTGGTAAAGCTAGGATTCGAAACAGGCAATTTGGCCATATGTCCTATGATCTTAACCACCTATGCTCTTAATTATTACACATGGATGAGGTCTAATTATTTAGTAATGTGAACAAGGCTCTGACTAGACTTAATATATTTACTTTTTTCTACTTACTGTATCATATCCCTATGCATTTGAATTATTTGTGTGGTAATCATTTCTCACATGTAAAAATAGTACCTTGTTAGATGTCTAATTAAACAGAACTTATTTACTTTTAATTTTTTTAATGTTTATTTTTGAACACACACACGCACACAGAGTGGTGAGTGGGGGGAGGGGCAGAGAGAAAGGGAGATACAGAATTAGGCTCCAAGTTGTTAGCACTGAGCCCGACATGGGACTCGAACTCACAAGCCGTGAGATAATGACCTGAGCCAAAGTCGGACACTCAACCGGCTGAGCCACCCAGGCACCCCTAAACAGAATTTATTTTTATTTCTCTGAATTTATATATATCCTGTCATGGCCCATGAGGAATACCATAGAATGCCCCAAAAAATCTGAAAATATAGGAAAAATCATAGGTTTATTCTTTTTTTCCTTCAGTTTAACAATCGAATCCATTGCCTCAAATTTAGAGGTCTGTCAACCAAAAGGGTATCTGAAGCTGAAGAAAAACACTTTACGCCTATCACTTGAAAATAAAACTAGTGTATTATTTGAAAATAAGTTTATCCTATATTTCCAGACTTTGGACACCCTGTAAACTTTATTATCTAACATACTACTCTTCTATTGACACAGTGTTATACCCAAAGTCCCTTAGCCTCAGTTCTCCCTAGTACAAGTAACCCTCTGTATCATTCCAACCCACTTTCCAAAACTGCCTTTTTGCAATGTAAAACCTGAAAACACTGCTGTTCCCTGAGACTGTAGTTCTAATTTTAAGAGGTTCATTTGAAACAATTTTAATTTGAAAAAAATTAAATTGGAAAACAAACTTCAAAAGGTAGAATGCTTTAAATATAATCATAAACATTTCCCAGAAATTAAGAGTAGTAATTGTTTCCCTCCCCTAATGTTTATCAAGTTTCTTGAGATAAAAATATCTAGCAATACCTCTTATCAATTTATTATGAAAAAGCAATTGTAAATTCTGATGATGATAATTGCTTTACATTTGTTGAGAGCATACTAAATGGCAGGACTTTACATGCCTTACCATATTTAATCCTTATCACATGTATATGAAGTATATACATTATACTTGAGGAAACTGTCACAAGAGGTTATATAGCTCATGCAAGATAGCACAAAGTTACATAGTGGTGAGTTGAAATTCAGACCCAAATTCCAACAACTACTCTGTATCGCTTCCCATTATTTGATCAAAAAAAAAAAAAAGGCATAAACAATACAAAAAACACGGCTGGACTTTAAAAGGCAACAGTAATAACATGGTTTTAAATTGTTTTCCCCTTAGGGAGCCTGGGTGGCTCAGTTGGTTAAGTGTCCAACTCTTGATTTCAGCTAAGGTCCTGATCTCATGATCTTATGGATTCAAGCCCCACATGGGGTCCATGCTGACAGTGCAGAGCTACTTGGGATTCTCCCACTCCTCCCCTCTTTCTGCCACTCCCGTGGTTGCTCTCTCTGTCCTTCTCAAAATAAGATTTTAAAAACAAAATAAAGTAAAATAAAGTATATATTATTTTAAAAATAAATTATTTTCTCCTTAAATGAGATTAATATTTGTGAAAAATATTTCATTTATTCTTACAAAAGAATAGTGCTGTGGTTATTACTAAATCCAAATAAAACATATAATTTATTCAATCATATGAAAATATCATAATTGAAATGATCTGTGGGGGGCACCTGGGTGGTTCAGTTAGTTAAGTGTCTGACTCTTGATTTCAGTTCAGATCATGATCTCACAGTTTGCTGAGTTTGAACCCCACATAATGCTCTGTGCTGACCATGTGAAGCCTGCTTGGGATTCTCTCTCGCCCTCTCTTTCTCTGTCCTTCCTCTGCACCTGCTCTCTCTCAAAATAAATAAACTTAAAAAAATGATCTGTGGAATATCTTCTTAATTTTGAAAATCTATTTCCTAGGCATGGTAGAGTCTCCTCCATTTTCTCTTAGCTTATTCTCCCTGATAGCTAAAAAACTATTTTCAGGGGTGCCTGGGTGGCTCAGTCGGTTAAGCGTCCGACTTCGGCTCAGGTCATGATCTCACGGTTCGCGGGTTCGAGCCCTGCATTGGGCTCTGTGCTGACAGCCAGCTCAGAGCCTGGAGCATGCTTCGGATTCTGTGTCTTCTTCTCTTTCTGACCTTCCCCTGCTCACGCTGTCTCTCTCTCTCTCTCAGAAATAAATAAAAAACATTAAAAAAATTTAAAAAAACTATTTTCAATTCATGTAATTTGATAATGATAATAATATTACTTTTCCTGTTTTTAAAAAAGTTAATTATCTTTAATCTTTGCTGTGAAAACAAAACAGTTTTGAAAAGTCATCTGTTGCAATATATTCTGTTTGAGGCAAATCATGAATATTATCAGAAAACTTTGGCTAATAAGTAGTCATATTTACTGGGTTCTTTGTGTACTATACAGTATTCCTAATAAATCCAAAATACCATCCCTGTTTCACTTGAAAACCTCCTCATGTGTTGCAGATTCACCCACTAAAGAACCTTTACCAGTTCCTTGATAACTTTTACTTTTAAAAAATCATATTTAAAAAGTCATTTATTTTAAAAAGCTCCACTTGGTGGAGGATGTTGAAAATGGGGAAGAGTATGTGTGTGTAGGGGCAGGAGCTTTATGAGAAATCTCTGTACCTTCTGCTAAGTTTTATTTTGAACCCAAAACTGCTCTAAAAAATAAAGTCTATTTAAAATAAAGCCCCCAAAAGCTCCACTGAGTTTCCCAAAACACCACCACTTTCTGATCTTTGGTTCCTTATACTCTACGTGTCTTACATTTATTTCCACACTTCATGCTATAGGTTTCCTATTTCATAGCTTCAGATAACTCTCTCCTACCCCTATCATCTCCTATCACAAACAATGTAAAATCAGCTTTATGATCACTTTGTACAGTTTAATACAACTACAAAGAGAATGAGAACATTTTTTAGACTCAAACAGTGACTTTAACGTGTTTAAGGCAACTACCATGTGTGTAAAATGATAGCCCTTCATACAATAGAACATAGAATAACTCTAGAATGCTCCAGACTAGAATCAAAACAGGGATTAATTTTAGGTAAAATGGTTGCTCACCTGTGGTATAATTTATAAATGAATTTACAATTTGTAAAATAATTTTTATTATGAAATTAATAAATCTCCATTTTAGATAATTTTTAAAATATAGGTAAACAAGAAATACATTATTCTTCATATTATTACTAATGCCAGGATATTCTTATTAATCAGAGAGCAACTGAAAAGTTTTGCTCAGTAATTCTCTTTATTTCAATCAAACCATCTTTTATTTCTTCTACTCAAACTATAAACTTAGTCATAAATACTTTAGCTAACAGTTTAAAGCAGCATTTTCATCTTTATACATTGTTTCACCTTTATACATTGTTTAACCTTTATACATGACACACAAATCTACCCATTAGCAAAGGTATGTCTAATTGTCAGTATACCACTGGTATTTGCATAGCTTTCTTTTGCTTCAAGAAAGCATACTAGCATGTGGCATGCAAGTCAGTGACTGAGATGTGGATAAAGCAATAAACCTTGAGTTCAAATGTATATACAAAAATAAATATGTTACATGTAAACTCTGGTACTAGTTATGGGTTATGACACATTTCCAACTGATCTCAAAGTGACAGTGTGCCTAGACACAGTGGCTGGGAAGTACTGGTTTAACATACTATTAGTTCTAAAAGGAAATCTTAAAATCTTCACATAACTTAAAAACAAATGGAAACAGCATTTTCAAAGCAATGTTAAGTCAACAGCTTTAAGAAATTAAGGTTATCTAGTAAGGTTAATATATTTGCTAAATCGCATAAAACTGGTTATTTATAAAATGCACTCACCATTTGTTCATTAGAATTCCCCAATGACTGAAGTTCATATTGAATAGGTTGCCCATTTTGGTCCACTAGATGAAACTGTTCTGTAGAAAGAGTCTGTGTCTGAGTCAGGGCCCCTGGTATATTCTGTGATGTGAGTGAATTATCTACTTCATGAGAGGTGATGGGTAAAATTCTAGGAGAACCATTTTGTCCAAAGGAAGGATCCCTGGAGTCCATACAGGTTAGATGCTTTTGCAAAGAGAAAAACATCACTTGGGTGTTGGTAAAACAATGTCACAATTAAAAAAATTTTTTTCTAAAAATTTTATTTTTAAGTAATCTCTACACCCAATGCTGGGCTTGAACTAACAACCCTGATATCAAGAGTCACATGCTCTATCCACTGAGCCAGCCAGTTGCCCCTAATGTCACAATTAAAAAAACAAAACAACAACAACAACAGAATGTTGATCAGCCACTGTGGAAAACAGTAAGGAGGTTCCTCAAAAAATTAAAAATAGAACTACGCCATGATCCAGTAATCACACTACTGGGTATTTACTCCAAAAATAAAAGAACACTAATTCAAAAGGACACATGCACCCCCATATTTATAGTAGCCTTATTTACAATAAACTGTGGAAACAGTCCAAGTGTCCATCGACTGATGAATGGGTAAAGAAGATATGCTATATATCCACAATGGAATATTATTCAGGCATAAAATGACTGAAATTCTGCCATTTGCAACAATATAGGTAGAGCTAGAGCGAATAATGCTAAGAGAAATAAGTCAGAGAAAAACAAATACCACATGATTTCATATATATGCGGAATTTAAGAAACAAAACGAATGAGCAAAGGGAGAAAGGGAGAAGGAAGCGGGGGGAAAGAGAGAAACCTAGAAATAGACTCTTAATAAATAGAGAGCTGATGGTTATCAGAGGCGAGGAGTATGGGTGGATGAGTTAAATAGGAGATGGGGATTAAGGAGTGCACTGGTCGTGATGAGCAGTGGGTGATGTATGAAATTCTTGAATCACTAAACTGTACATCTGAAACTAATATAACACATATTAGTTATATGTTATATGTATGTCTGTATATGTTATATGTATATATATGTATGTTATATGTATATATAGTTAACATGTATGTTAACTATACTGAAACTTAAAGTAAAATAGCATGTTATAACAAAAATAGAAAGATTCATTTTTCAGTTAATTATCCTCTTTACTTTCTGTAAGAGTTGCCAATTCACACAGACTAACATAGACAGAAAGTAGTTCTTAGGTGAAATTGTTGATTTTTATATTTTGTTTCAATTTTACTGAAATAAAGTTATCCATGGGAGCACAACTTGAAATGATGATATGTAATTCAATATACAGATTTTTCTTTATGAATGTTACTTTAAGTAAAGCTCTAAATTATAATATTAAATATATGACAGAAAGGTGGATGTGTTAATAGTCATGAATACATTAAATATGACACTATTTCTTACCCATTAAAAAGTTGTTAAATGTAATGGGAAAAAATTCCCAGTTGAATTCCTACCTCAAATACCTGAGAATCGTTTTTTGATTCTTCAGAATCATTATGGTTGACTCTTAATGAATCATTAGACTCTTCCATCCCGATATATTCAATTCCATCTTCTATTATTTAATAGCTGAAAAATTTTAAATATCTGATTAAAGCACTTAACATTTTTATGGAATGTTTGTCTTAAATAAATCTCTCATTTCCCCTATGGTGTTACCCCATACAATTTAGGTTAAATCATTTCCATTCTTTGGATTATGAAAATAAACATTTCATTAAATGATTTGTCAAGGCACCAGAATACATTCAAGGCAAAGATTACCATTATGTAGTTCCCTCATCCTACCCTTCCCTCATCCTACCACATAATTACACTCATGTGCTGTTTTATAAGATTGTTGTTATGTGACAGGTACTGTTCACCCTTTCAAATACTACTAAAATTCTCATGTTACAAAGACTTAATACAAATAAAGGTTCTTTTTTTTAATGTTTTTTTTTTAAATTTACTTTTGAGAGAGAGAGAGAGAGAGAGACAGCATGAACAGGGGAGGGTCAGAGAGAGAGGGACACACAGAATCTGAAACAGGCTCCAGGCTCTGAGCTAGCTGTGAGCACAGAGCCCGATGCGGGGCTTGAACCCACAATCGGTGAGATCATGACCTGAGCCGAAGTCAGACACTTAACCGACTAAGCCACCCAGGAGCCCCCAAATAAAGGTTCTTAATTTTATGAATTGGGAATGTACTACTGTAGCGTTAGATAATTTTAGAAAAACTGAGGGCTGATGGGGGTGAGGAAGAGGGAAAGGGGGCTGATGGGCATGGAGGAGGGCACTTGTGGGGATGAGCACTGGGTGTTAAATGGAAACCAACTTGACAATAAACTATTTTAAAAAAAGATAATTTTAGAAAAGATGTTTTGGTGTAAACAGAGATTATATACACACAGCTCTTACCATATTATACATCATACCACTTAATATTGGCTTGACAAGCTTTGAAAATGAAGAAATATATATTCCAAAAATTCTGGGTCACTTAGGCATAATACAGTGGTTAACACTGGTGACAATTTTGTCTCTACACACACACACACACACACACACACACACACACACACTACTGTCCCCTGAGGACATTGGGCAATGTCTGGAAACATTCTTGGTTGTCAAAATGGACAGGGGAGTGCTACTAGAATATAATGGGGAGAAGCCAGGAGTACTGCTAAATATCTTACAATACACTGGAGAGCCCCTACAACAAAGATGTCAGTAGTGCTCAGATTCAGAAACCCTGGCCTAATATATTATAGTGAATACTGGATTCTGTATTAGCTAAAAGGAATGATGTTTTAAGCCTCAATATCGGAGTAAGGACAAAAATGAAACTAGTGAAGACAATCACTGAAAAATTTATAATATAAAATAAACTACATCTTTTTAAGAACCCACACATTTTTGGTTTTTTTTTAATTTTTTTTAATTTTTATTTTTTATTTTTTTTTAATATTTTTATTTATTTTTAGGAGAGAGAGAGACAGCGTGAGCAGGGGAGGGTCAGAGAGAGAGGGAGTCACGGACTGAAACAGGCTCCAGGCTCTGAGCTGGCAGTCAGCACAGAGCCCAACGCGGGGCTCGAACCCACGGACCGCAAGATCATGACCCAAGTGAAAGTCGGACGCTTAACCGACTAAGCCACCCAGGCGCCCCAATTTTTTTTAATTTTTAAATTTTAATTAATTTTTTTTTTTTTTTACTTTTGAGAGAGAGAGAGCACAAGCTGGGGAGAGGCAGAGAGAGAGGAAGACACAGAATACAAAGCAGGCTCCAGGCTCTAAGCTGTCAGCACAGAGCCAGACACCAGGCTTGAACTTGTGAACTGCGAGATCATGACCTGAGCCAAAGTCGGACGCTTAACCAACTGAGGCACCCAGGAGTCCCTAATTTTACTTTTCATAAGATAGCATAAACTATTTTTTAAACATCTTGAAAATTAAATTTTCTTTTTTAAAAAGTCTATTTATTTATTTTGAGAGAGGTAAAGCATGAGTGGGGGGAGAAGCAGAGAGATAGAAGGGGGGCGGGGGAGAGAGAGAAAATCCCAAGCAGGCTCTGCACTGTCAGCACAGAGCGCAATGTGGAGCTGGAATTCATGACCTGAGCTGAAGTCAGATGCTTAACTGACTGAGTCACCCAAGTACCCCAAAAGTTCTGATTTTAAATGTTTAGTTATTTTTGAAAGAAAGAGAGAGAGAGCAAGTGGGGGAGGAGTAAAGAGAGAGGGAGAGAGAATTTCAAGCAGGCTCCACACTGTCAGCTCAGATTCCAATGTAGGGCTTGATCCCACAAAATATGAGATGGATTATGACCTGAGCGGAAATCAAAGAGTTTGAAGCTCTAAGCCACCAGGTGACCCCTCAAAATTTGTTAATTTTTTTATTACATTTATTTCTTTTGAGTGAGAAAGACAGTGTGTGAGCCGGGGAGGGGTAGAGAGAGAGGGAGACACAGAATCCAAAGCAGGCTCCAGGCTCTGAGCTGTCAGCACAGAGCCCGATGTGGGGCTCAAACCCATAAACTGTGAGATCATGACCTGAGCCAAAGTCGGATACTTAACCAACTAAGCCACCTATGTACCCCTTAAGATTTTATTTTTAAATTAACATGCATTAAATTGAACTTTTCTTTTTCTATTTATTTTCTTGGTGTGTAGTTCTATGGATTTTAACACATGTAACCACCATAACCAGCAGGATATATAATAATTCAATCATCCTAAACCCTAATTTAAAATTATACCTGTGGGGCACCTGGGTGATTCAGTCAATTCGTGGGTTGGAGCTCTGAGCTGGACTCCATGCTGACAGTGTGGAGCCTGTTTAGAATTCTCTCTCTGCACCCCACTCCCACACACACTCTCTCTCTCTCCTCGAGTAAACAAAAACTTTTTAAAAATGTTCTCTTTAAAAACAAAGACAAATTTATACCTTGCAGTTGAGACTTGTTGGTATATATTTGAACACAGTGAAAACTTATTTCTGTGATAGCATCCACATATGTATTGTAAAATTAAACATTTGAGAAAATCTACAAGGTTTGTCATTTCATATTTCCAAAATATTATAAATAGTTCCACTCAAATATAAAATGTAATAGGCTAAAAATCAGTCTTATTTTTAATATATAACTACAAAATATCTAAAATTGCTTCTCTTAAGATTTTAAATTATGACATGTTCTAATTTAACTCATTACAAAAATTTCAAAAACTTGTAATTACCTCTCAAGTAAGAGCAATCTTATAATGTTCTGGTTCTGTTTTGAATTTTTTACATGATATACATAAAACTTTGGAATAATATGTTTTATAGATGGTTTAAAAAATAAAAAGAAAGCTCCACCAATGGCAATATGACAGATTAGATAATAGAAGGCTCTCTTGCTAGAAAACAAAAAAATACAAAGTTGATCTAAAACAAAGTATTTTGTGCTACAGGCAGCTACTACAGGAAGTAACAAAAATCAAAGGTCACTCCCTCTCCTCCCTTATGCCCCTTCCCTCTCCAAAACAAAAAGCAAAAGCTGTGAGCTAAAACCCAAGTGATAAGTATAAGCAAAGAGGAAAATTTCTGCAGGAGCAGTGCTAATAAACAGGTTTTATGGCTGGGAAACCCAAGCTTAGATAAGCAGCTCCTAGGGAAGGAGAACTTAAAAACTCCCAGAATAGGACTGGGAACCTGAAAGGTCTTGAGACAATAGTTTAGCCTGGCTTCTAGTACAAACAAATAGAGCTATTATTTGGAGGAACACAAACCCAATTAAAGCATTAGTTTCTTTTCACATTAATATTAAATATAAGCTTATCATCAGAGTGCCAAAACCACCAGACACTCCCTATAGACTTCAAGTATTGGGACCATCTAATAGTGAATATAAAGTTATCATTTAATGTTCAAAGAAATAAACATGAGTGAATCACAGGAATAAACAGACAACAAGAGACTGTAAAGTTTAATCTGAAAGAGAATCAAATAGAACTTTCAGAAATAAAAAATGTAAGTTGAGTACATTAAATAGAAGGTTAGATACAGAAGAAAGAACTACTAAACTAGAAGGCAGATTTTTAAAAAATTACTCAGAAAGCAATATAGGAAATACAGAAGATAAAAACAGAAGAGACTTAAAACTAGGAAAAATAGAATAAGAATAGCATATTTATCATTGAAGTCTCCAAAGAACAGAAAAGAGAAAATGGGTCAGAGAATATTTGAAGGAATAGTGACTATCAATTTTTCAAAACTGAATACATGAATCCACAGATGAAGCACAAAATGTACCAAAAGAAATCCATACCCAGTGTAGTGAAGACACAAAATTTTAAAAAGAAGGCAAATCTAAAACGTAGCCAGAGAGATAGAGTGCCTGGGTGGCTCTGTTAATTAGGTGTCCAACTTTGGCTCAGATCATGATCTCACGGTTCATTGAGTTCGAGCCCTGCATGGGGCTCTGTGCTGAGAGCTAGGAGCCTGGAGCCTGCTTCGGATTCTATGTCTGTCTGTCTGTCTCTCTCCCTCTCTCTTTCTCTCTGCCCCTCTCTGCTCTCTCTCTCATAAATAAACATTAAAAAAAAATTAAAATGCAGCCAGAGAGATAGGATCACCCACAGAGTACTGACGAGTACTGACTTAAATAGAAAGCAGACTACTCAGTAGCAACAATGGTAGAAGTCATGGGAATTAAAAAAAAAAAAAAAGCAATTATCAGTATATGATTATATATGTTCAAAACTATTTTTTCACAAAATAAGGGAAGAGAAAGATACTTTAAGATTAAAAAAAAAAAAAAAACTGAGAGAAGGGGCACCTGGTGGCTCAAGTCAGTTAAGTGTTCTACTTCAGCTCAGGTCATGATTTCACGATTCCTGGGTTCAAGCTTGGCCATCAGACTCTGTGCTGACAGCTCAGAGCCTGGAGCCTGCTTCGGGTTCTGTTTCTTCCTCTCTCTCCCTGCCCCTTCCTTGCTTGTGCTCTGCCTCTTGCTCTCAAAAATAAATAAAACATTTTTTAAAAAAGAAAAATTAAAAAAACTAAGAGTTTATAACAAGTATCCTAGATGTAAGAAATTTCTAAAGAATACAAATAACAAAAATGATACGAGAAGGAAGTCCTAAGATGTCAGAATACTGGTAAACTAGTAAATTAATAACTCTGAAAAATCTAAATAAACACTGTCTATATAAATAACAATAATATTATTACAATTCTGTGTATGTGTGCTTTAAGAATAGAAATAAAATACTAAAGAACAAAATAAAATATATGTAGAACTAAATAAAATATATGTAATTGAGGAGGGGGTGATGACAGATAAACACAGTATATCAAAACTTATGGAATGCAGGGAAAACAGTGCTCAGAGGGAAATTTAAAGCAGTAATGCTTGTATAAAAAATGAAAAAATAATTTAAAAAAGGGGAAAAATCTCAAAATCTAAAAGTAGGCTCTCCAAAAATATTGACAAAATTTGACAAACTTTTACCTAGACTGACCAAAAAAAAAAAAGAAGAAGAAGAAGAAGGAGGAGGATACAAATAATGAAAAGCAGAAATCAAAATGGGGGGACATTACTATAAAACCTTACAGAAATTAAAAAGATTATGAGAAAATACTAAGAACAGAAGTATTACTACCTCTATTTGCATATGGTCTCATGTACAGAAAATCCTGAAAAATCCACAAAAACACTACCAGAGTTAATAAATTCAACAAAGTCACAGTATATAAGATCAAGATGCAAAACTCAGTTGTGTTTTTTATATACCAGCAATGAACAATCCAAAAATGAAATTAAGAAAACTGTTCATTTGCAATTGCATTGATAAGAATAAAATACTTATGAATAAATTTAAGGAAGTGTAAGGCTTGTTTACTAACACTAAAAAATATTGCTGAAAAAAATTAAAGAAGATCTAAATAAATGGAAAGACATACTGTGTTTCTGCAATTAGAAGACATGAATATTGTTAAAACGGTAATACTTCCCAAAGTAATCTATAGATTGAAGGGCGCCTGGGTGGCTCAGTCGGTTAAGCGTCTGACTTCAGCTCAGGTCATGATCTCATGGTTCGTGGGTTTGAGTCCCGTGTCGGGCTCTGTGCTGACAGCTAGCTCAGAGCCTGGAGCCTGCTTCGGATTCTTTATCTCCCTCTCTTTCTGACCCTCCCCTGCTCATGCTGCCTCTCTCTCTCTCTCAGAAATAAATAAAATATTAAAAAAAATTTTAGATTGAATGCAATCTTTATCAAAATCCTAGTGCCCTTTTTCTGAGTCGTGGAAAAGCCAAATTCACACAGAATTACAAGGAACCCAAATTGTCATAATAATCTTGAAAAAGAACAAAATTGGAAGACTCATTTTCAGAGTTTCAAAACTTACTACAAAGCTACAGTGCTCAAGAGAACGTGGTACTGACTTACAGGTAAACATGGAGATCAATGGAATAGAATTGAGAGTCCATAAATACACTCAAAACATCTATAGTCAAAAAATTTCAACAATGAGAAATGAATAGTCTTCTTCAACAATTGGTACTGGGACAAATCAATATGCACATGCAAAATAATGAAGATGAATCCTTACCTCATAGTATATATAAAAAATAACCAAAATTAGATCAATAACCTAAATATAAGAGTTAAAACCATAAAATTCTTAGAAGAAAAAGGTAAATCTTCATGACCTTGGATTTGGCAATGGTTCCTTAGATGTAACACCAAAAAACTAGAATCAAAAGAAAAATAAATTGGACACTTATCAAAATAAAAACTCTTGTGCAAAGGACACCATGACAAGAATGAAAAGACAACCCACAGATGGGAGAAAATATGTGCAAATCAAGTATCTAGTAAGGTCCAGAATATATAAAGAATACGTAAAGAACTCCTACAACTAGCCTATAACTCAAAATAAAACAACCAACAATACCCCTGTTAAAAAAAGTGCAAAGGAGTTGAATAGATATTCTCCAAAAAAGACAAAAATGGCCAACAAACATATTAAAAAGATATTTTTTAATGTTTGTTTATTTCTGAGAGAGAGAAACAGAGTGCAAGCAGGGAAGGGACAGAGAGGGGGGCAGGCACAGAATCAGAAGCAGGCTCTCAGCTCTGAGCTGTCAGCATAGAGCCTGATGTAGGGCTCAAACTCACAGACTGGGAGATATGACTTGAGCAGAAGTCGGATGCTTAACCGACTGGGTGGCTCAGTAGGTTAATCGTCCTTGAGTCATGATCTTGTGGTTCATGGGTTCAAGCCTTACATCAGGCTTGCTTGCTGACAGCTTAGAGCCCACTTCAGATCTTCTGTCCCCTTCTCTCTCTGCCCCTTCCCCATGCTTCCCCCCCATGCTTCCCCCATGCTTGCTCTCCCTCTTTCTCAAAAATAAATAAACATTTAAAAAAAAGATGTTTATGGTCACTAGCCATCAGGATTATGCAAATCAAAGCAACAATGAGATACCAGTTGATACCCACTAGGATAACTATATTAATTTTATTGTATTGTATTGTATTTGAGAGAGAGAGAAAATGTGTAGAAGTAGGGGAGAGGGGCAGAGGGGGGCTCTGTTTCTTTCAAATGAATAAATGTTAAAAAATGAAAAGGGACACCTGGGTGGCTCAGTTGGTTAAGCATCCAACTTTGGCTCAGGTCATGATCTCATAGTTCATGGGTTCGAGCCCTGCATGGGGTTCTGTGCTGACAGCTAGCTCAGAGCCTGGAGCCTGCTTCAGATTCTGTATCTCCCTCTCTCTCTGACCCTGCCCTGCTCACGCAGTCTCTTGCTCTCTCAGAAATAAATAAAAACATTTAAAAAAATTTTTAATGAAAAAAAAAGAATCAAAAGTGGAAACTACTCTAATGAAAAAAAAATCAAAAGTGGAAACAGCTCTAATTTTCATCAGCTGATGAATAAACAAAATATGCTATATCCATATAAACGGTAGTCAGCCATAAAAAGGAATGAATTACTGATACATGCTAAAATATAGATGAACCTCAAAAACATTATACTAAGTGATAGAAGTCAGACACAAACAAACTGTCATACATTACATGATTCCATTTATATAAAATATCAGAATGGGTAAATCCATCCAAACAGAAAGCAGGTTGGTGGATGCCAAAGGCCTGGGGGTGGGGGAGAATAGGGAAAAACTGCCAATTAGGCACAAGGATTTATTTTGGGTTGATGAAAATATTTTGGAATGAGATAGAGGTGGTATTTACACAATACTGTGAAGGTAGAAAATGCCACTAAATTGTTCATCTAAAAATGATTAATTTTAAGTTTTATGAATTTCACCTCAGCTTTTTACATTTATTACCAAAAAGAAAAAAATATATACATATGTAAGTATATACGTGTATGTGTGTGTGTGTGTGTGTTATGTGTGTATGGCAGTCAGGAAAATATGAATATGGATTAGAGATTTACTAAAAAAATTTTTGGTGTATTTTTAGCGGTATATGTGAATGATATTGTAGATGAAATTGTGTCATGTGATGATGTCCAGGATTTGATATCGTCTCATCTTCTCTCTCTGTGCCTGCTACTGACCTTGATTTTCTCTTGTGCGGTCTTATGTGGCATGCCTCCCCTCCTCTCTGGAACTGTGAGTGATAAACTATCTTAATTTTCAGTGGCAGTCATCTCCTGATATGTTGATCTCACCATATCTAAAGAGAAAAAAAGGCTATTTTAAAACAATCATAAACATATAAATATTAAAACCTTAAATAAAATCTCAGTGAAAAAAATCCAGCAATATATAATAAAAATAATGCATCTCATCAAATGAAGGATGTCATTGGCTTTTAGTAAATCCAGTGTGGAAACTAAGTTTAGAGTAGAATTTCGTGTAAATACAGTATGATACCAACTGCATAAAATAGCACAATGGAATAAAAAATATAAAAATTTTAGGGCTAAAGTTAACAAAATATATGCAAGATCTATGCACTGAAGACTACAAAACCTAGATGGGAGAAATTAAAGAAGACCTAAAAGGATGAAAGTTACATACTGTGTTTATGGAATGTATGACTCAATATTGTTAAAATAACCATACTGATCTAAAATCAGTTGCCTACAATCCCAATCCCAGTAGGACTTTTTTTTAATTGACAAACTGATTCTAAAATTCATATGAAAAGTCAAAGGTTAAGATAGTCAAAACAGCTTTGGAAAAGAGCAACAGAATTGGAATTCTACCTGATTTCAAGACTTGTGATGAAGCTAGAATACCCAAGATAGTATGGTATTAAAGACAGACAAATATGGGTGCCTGGGTGGCTCAGTTGGTTGGGCGGCCAACTTTAGCTCAGGTCATGATCTTGCGGTTTTTGAGTTTGAGCTCACAAAGCTGTGTTGACAGCTCAGAGCCTGGAGCCTGCTTTGGATTCTGTGTCTCCCTCTCTCTCTGCCCCTCCCCTGCTCACACTCTGTCTCTCAAAAATAAATCTTAAACTTTTTAAAAATATAAAAAAAAAAAAGACAGACAAGTAGATCAATGGGATAGAAGAATCCAGAAACAGACCTCCATGTATATAGTCAATTGCTTTCTGATAAAGATCCCAAGGTATTTAAGAGAAAAGAACAGTCTTTTCAACAAATGCAGCTAAAACAATAGCTATATGCAAAACAATAAACCTTGACCCTTACCTCAAATCATATAAAAAAATTAACTTGAAACAGATCATGGCTTGTAAGACTATAAAACTTCTAGAAGAAAACATATGAGAAAATCTTTATGACCACGGGTTTAACGAAGATATCTTTTTTTTTTTTAAGTTTTTTTACTTATTTTTGAGAGAGACAGAGACAGAGAATCCCAAGCAGGCTCTGTACTGACAGATGTGGGGCTTGAACCCACGAACCACGAGACCATGACCTTAGCCGAGATCAAGAGTTGGACACCTAACCAACCAAGCCACCCAGGTGCCTGGATTTGGCAAAGATATCTTAAAAATGACTCAAAAAGCATGAACTATAAGTCTACAAATTGGACTTCATCAAAACTTCATTAAAAACTTTTGCTCATGACAGTTTGGGAGAAAATATTTGCAAAACATATGCCTGATAAAGGAATTTATATCCCAACTCTGTAAAGAGCTGTTCCAACCTAATTATAAAACAACAACCCAATAAAAAGTGGCCAAAATATTTGAATTAAACACTTTACTAAAGAAGATATACAGCTAGCTAGAGAAAGGCAAATACCACACGACTTTTCTTATATGTGGAATTAGAAGATACAAACTTCCAGTTATACAACAAGTCACACACACACAAAAAGTCATGAGGATAAAAAGTACAGCACAAAGAATATAGTCATTAATATTGTAATAACTTTTTATTTATGATGACAGATGGTACCTACATTTATCACAGTAAGCATTTCACAGTGCTTTTGTTAAATTACTAGGCTATACACCTGAAACTGCTATTGTATGTCAACTATACTTTAAAAAAATAAGCTATTAAGCCACAAAAGATAAGAAGAAACCTTAAACGCATACTGATAAGTGAAAGAAGCCACTCTGAAAAGGCTATAGACTATATGATTCTAAATATATGACATTTAAAAAAATTTTTTTAAGTTTATTTATTTTGAGAGAAAAAGCACATGAGCAGGGGAAGGGCAGAGAGGGAGGGAAAGAAAGAATCCCAAGCAGGCTCTGCACTGTCAGTCCAATATGGGGCTTGAACTCACAAACCTTGAGATCATGACCTTAGCCAAAATCAAGAGTAGGATGTTCAAATGACTGAACCACCCAGGTACCCCAAATATATGACATTCTTGAAAAGGCAAAACTATGGACACAGTAACATCAACAGTTGCCAGAGGTTGAGAGATTTTCATTGTGATGAAACAATTCTGATGGTGGATACACAACATTTTGAAGTGGATTTTGTCAAAATCTGTAAAACTATACAACACAAATAGCAAACCTTAATGAAAACTAGACTTCTGTTCATAATAATGTGTCAATATTGGTTCATTAACTTTATGAAATAGATCACTCTAAAGGTGCCTGGCTGGCTCAATTGGTGGAGCATGAAACTCTTGATTTCAGGGTTGTGAGTTCAAGTCCCCCAAAACAAATAAATATTTTAAAAAAAGAAAGAAATGTACCACCCTAATATAAAATGTTAACAACAGAGACAACTGTGTGCTAGCAGGCAAAGGAAAGAAGTGGGGGGTATAAGAATATGGAATCTTTGTATTCTCTGCTTGATTTTTCTCTAAATCTGAAACTATGAAAAAAAAAAAGTCCTTTAGTTAAAAAAAAAAAAAGCAGAATCACTGTAAAGTCAATAACAAATAACAGTACATGAATTCCAAAATTATCTTGAAACTTTATGTTAAGTTACCACAATTTGGACAATGTTGGAATTAGGATATATAAGAAAATATATTATTTTTTCATTAAAATTTTAATAAAAATTTAGAGGGGCACCTGGGTGGCTCGGTCAGTTAAGCGGCTCTCTTCAGATTCTATATCTTCCTCTCTCTCTGACCCTCCCCTGATCACACTGTCTCTATCTCTATCTCAAAAATAAATAAAACATTAAAAAAAAACAAATAACTTAGAGAATTTTGTCAATAAAACTGTATAAGATAGTTGAACTATTCTGTATTTATATCGCATGAGTTTCAATTTCAGCTTTATGCTTGTCAAATTAGTTAACCACTCTAAGCTTTAGTTTTCCCATCTGCAAAATGGAAATAATATTCATCTACTTCACAGGGCTGTTATAAAGATTAAATAAAATAATGTATGCAAAGGATATCATGCAGTTCCCAATACACTGCTCAGTGTTCAATAATTTTTAGGGAAGCCTGAGTGGCTCAGTCGGTTAAGCATCTGACTTCAGCTTAGGTCCTGATCACACAGTTCGTATTTCGAGTCCTGCATCCAGCTCTGTGCTGACAGCTCAGAGCCTGGAGCCTGCTTCGGATTCTGTCTCCCTCTTCCTCAGTCCCTCCCCTGCTCGTGCTCTGTCTCTCTCTCTCAAATGAATAAACATTAAAAAATCAATAAATAAATAGTTTTTACTGCCTATAATTATGCAAATAAAGGCCAAAATTTCACCTATCTAAATATAAACTCAGTGGTTCTTTTTTTAATGTTTTTTTTTTAACCTCATTTTGAGAGAGAGAAAGAAAGGGTGTACATGCATATATGCAAGCAGGGAGGGGCAGATTGGGAGAGAAAGAATCCCAGGCTTTGTGCTTTCAGCGGGGAGTCCAATGCAGGGCTTGAGCCCTGGAACTGCAAGATCATGACCTGAGCCGAAATCAAGAGTTGGACAGAGCAACCTAGGTATCCCAAATCCATTAGTTCTTTAGGGCAAAAATCTGCTAAACATCAGTCATCTAATTGATGTAATCAAAACTTATCTGGGTTTAGTATGAAACTTTTTAAGTTTTTTTTTTTAATTTTTTTTAATTTTTTTTAATGTTTTATTTATTTCTAGGAGAGAGAGAGAGAGACAGCGTGAGCAGGGGAGGGTCAGAGAGAGAGGGANAGAGAGAGAGAGACAGCGTGAGCAGGGGAGGGTCAGAGAGAGAGGGAGTCACAGACTCTGAAACAGGCTCCAGGCTCTGGGCTGGCAGTCAGCACAGAGCCCGACGCGGGGCTCGAACCCACAAACTGCGAGATCATGACCTAAGCGAAAGTTGGACGCTCAACCGACTAAGCCACCCAGGCGCCCCTTAAGTTTTATTTTTGAGAGAGAGAACATGAGCAGGGGAAGAACAGAGAGAGAGAGGGGAAGCAAAGATTTGAAGCGGGCTCTGCACTGACAGCAGTGAGCCAATGCAGGGCTTTAACTCACAAACTATGAGATGATAACCTAAACCAATATCGGATGCTCAAACAACTGAGCTACCCAGGTGCCCCAATATTAAACTTTTAAATACACTTGTTTATACAGACTTTGAAAATTTTTAAAAATTTACACTTTTAGATACCTAATAGACTCTCATTTCAGTATTATTTAGTTTAAAAATTTATACATTTCGTAAATATAGTAGAGTACACGGAGTCAGTCTAGATTTGATTAAAAAAAAATATCCAAACTGAACTTTTCTAAACTTCAATTTCTAGTTCTTTAAAACGAAGAGTCAGTATTGGTGATCCTTAAGATCCCAACCAGTTCTAAGATTTTAACAGTTGATTAAACTGATAATGTTTAAAATTCATTTATTGTTTACTGATTGACTTTCAAGGTACAGAATAGAAAAAAAAAGAATACTATTCAAAAAAAATTCTTATAAAGTTAGATTCAACTGAAAATGAAGTCCTACTGAGAGATGTATTAAAACTGAAATAACTGCTGTCCAGAAAACAATTTAATTTTTTAAAGCAAATTAAATATACTGAAATATTTACTGGCTAAACATGATAACATCAATATTAAGAAATATTTTTAAGTTTTTTGAGTTTAAATATAAAGCACTGTCAGTGACAAAATAGATGAAGATTATGAATTTGTCATAGCAATAAAATTTGTTGAATGCTTATTATACTTAATAATTACTAGCTAGGATTATTAATAATCACTCTACTATTCTGTGATGTAAAACCTATTATCACCATTTTACAGAAATTGAGGCTCACTGCTCAAGGTTATAAGGTTATCAATTATTAAGCACTATGCTAAGTGTTTTCTGTCATTTTATATAATCCTTTCAACAACCCTGTGATTCAGTTACTTGGTCCAATTTACATGTACGGAAAAAAGACTCAGGCAATTAAGTAACTTCCCCAAGAGTACAAATACATTAAGTGCCTGAGCATGGACTCAAGCCTACAGGTGCTAACCCAAAAGCCCACTCTATTATTACAATAGGAACTCTTTCAAGGTAACAAACTCCCTCCTTCCTTCATTGGTCATGGCTTTCAATCTTTTTCCTTTTTTCTAATAGATTAGCAAATTCTAGATGCTAAAAGAAATTCTTTGTTCATTATTGTTCTCAACTTTTCCTGGTTGAAATTCAATTAGAGTAAGTCCCTAAAGCTCCAAAGCCCTCCTGCAAATATTCTAAACATCTCTGATCCCATGAAAAAGCTAGACTTCTAATCTTGCAGGCACCGCAGTCACTGAGAAAACATTCTGCAAACAGATTCAAAAGTGGAGCTTGGGAAGAAGTGCAAAGTGCAAATAGTTTAGGGGAAAGAATTCTAAAAACTTACTCCCAGTTTCCTAATAGCTGCCCTGATCCCATTACAAAGTATCCCTATTAGCCTAAACTATTTTTCATTTTATTTACTTTCTCTTACCCTAGCTGAAATTTTCATTGGAATTAATAAGCATTTTCTCTTAAAAAGAAAAAACTGTGGACAGAGTATTAGTCATAAACAAATTTGTGTAAATTTATATAAGGCAGCTTTTTTTCCTTTAAGAAAAGTTAAGAACAGCTTCTCTGCAAAGGTTAATTTGGAGATGAGAAAGCAAGTACACTTTAAGCTCAGAACATGTAAAAGCGACTTGGCAAAGGCCTGAGCGAAATGCTGCAATGAAAAGGACAGGATGGTGGTGGGGATGGATGTTCTTAACAGAGGAACACTGTCAAACATAAACCACCTACTTCAGGACTTTGCTCACACTGGGTTTTGCCAAAGATAATTTCTTTTTCTACTGTCTTTTGGGAATTCAAAACTCAAGATTTTCCTTTCAGGATGTATGTTTACACGAGAGGTTAAATAAGTTTTTTTTGTGTTACATTGGGAAAATACTAAAGTAGTTTCTATATGGAAAAATGGGTTTCAGTATCTATTTACTAACGTACTATTGAACCAGAGGTTGAAAGTACATTTCTATGTTACAGATATCCTTTTCAAAAGACAAAATTTGACTGAAGTAAAAAGTATTACTCCTTCCTTCCTTAATTGCTCCATCACTTTGCATTATACTTTTCAATGCTGACAATTGCAGGGTGACTTATTTTCTCATCTAATCTCAAAGTCAGTACATGCTAGAAATTATTATCCATAGCTTTCAATAAACTATGTCAAAGTGAAGTTTTTAAGGATGAAGATACCAAGTAGCTAGGTATAAAATGCTTTCTTCCAACTGGTAAACACAAATAGAATGAAGACCCAAATAGAAAGTGCAATTTGAGTTTTCATTAATATGTGACTGGTAAAAACTTTTATAGAGCTGTTACTTTCAATTAAGTTGAAAATAAAGGTGTTACCTTCAGGCAATATCTCAAGCTTAAACTCAGGTCTCAAGCATTCTACTATTCCCAGAAATACCCTTTCTTGTCCACTGAAGTTCTTCCTTTTGGGGGCACTAAATCATAATAGGCTTCATTTGTGTGAGAGATATAATTATGTCTTCACAGCAGCATTTTTTCTGTAATGAGAAGGTATTCAATGTATATTTTCTTTTCCAACACATAAAGAAAACTACTCGATTTTGCTATGCAGGTTTTACTATAAAAGAGCTGTTACCAACACAGTACAGAACCATCAACTGGCTCAGCTGAAGAAAACTAAAGATCAGGACTGACTTTACAGATAACAGCATGTGTCCAGGGATAGGTGACTTAACCTGTGATTCAGCTTCCTTATCTAAAATTAGGGATTTGGACGAAGGTTTTGTTTTAACTCACATTCTATACCTACTACTAAAACAAAGACCTCCCTAGGAAATTGCATTTCTCCCATGAAATATTTACTAACAGGGCACTTTCTGGAACCATAAAAGCTTGAGAATAAAGGTTCCCCTCCTCAAACTACACCCTCTGTAAAATCATGGAATTGATTTGACAAGGTGAGTTCTTAAGCAAGTAGTATTGGGATTACATTAAAAAAAAAAAAACCAAAAACAAAAAGATGAAAATATTACATGTGTACACAGTTAATGACTGGAATTCACAGCACACACTAAAGCATTACATTTTGCTAGCAAGTGGCTTTCTAGCATGTTTCACATCATGTTAGAAAAGTGGATTTTACCTTATATCAAAAGCAAAGATTAGGAAGAAACTGTTAAATTACAAGTTTGATGCTTTATAGGGAAAAAAGAAATTTTATTGTTTATAAATATTGAATGCATGGCAGAAAGGAAAAGACTGACTATTCAGACTGCAGTCACTCATAAATCTGTGGACCTTATTTGGGCTATTGTTGCTTTGATTTTGTTCAACAGCAATTTTATTCAAAACATTAGAGGTAATTCTGTCTTAATATCTGATTATTTTGCTGAGTTTCCTCTACAGACTTTTATGTAGTAAAATGAATCTGTTAAAACCAATGACCTCAGAGTAAATTCCCAAACAGACTAACGGAAGGATGAAACCAATTTTAGTCTTAAAAGATCCTCCTAATTCTAGGTACCTTGTTAGTATCCTAAGACTTAAAGGATCTTGAAATATATTCAATATCAGTGCCAGATCTCATAACTTATTAACATCTAAAAAAGTTGCTCAAAAGTACTTTTGAAAATAAAATTACTCTTATCTTTTAAAGTAAACGACACAATGTTCCTTTTATGATGTATACAAAATTACTATGAATCAGTGGTGTCAAAATTTAAATCAAGACTCCTAGTTCACAAATATTTGACAGAACAATTTATTTTCTTAAAGGTGGGTTTGGAAAGTTATAATGTATTAAGTCAAAGTTTTGAATATATATAAATATAAACAATAACCTATTTTAACTTTTCACTTAAACAAATTTAAAGCTAGTGTTCACAATGTCTCTTTTATCTAAGGTTTGCCCTCTTTTATAAACTTCCCTATAATCTTGGTTTCTACTCACTTCTTACCCTGTAACTACATACCTTTTTTGACCTCTATGCTTTTTGACATCGAAACCTATACAGATTATTTCATTTAATCCTCACAATAAGAGGTGGATCTTTAACTCTATAGAGAAAAAAGCCAAAGCTGTCAAGTAACTTGCCTAAAATCACAGAAAGCATTAGAGCTCAAATTCAAAACTAAGTTGGAAAAAAACCCAAAAAACAAATTGCACTGCAAAGTCCATACATAGTCTTCAGATCATACCATACCATGCCATTATATGTAGAAAAAAAGAAACCTATAATAGACACATATCTTCCAAGCTGTGATTTTCCAGATAATAATATGTCTTCACAAGGACCACAGTAAATGAATCATGTAGGAAATCAAGAACAAAAAGCTTGAAGTTAATGTTCTAAGAAAAACACTCAAAGTAAAAGCATTAACTACCCTAAGTACTTACTACATGGAGGAAACACCAAATATGATATGAGTCACTACTGACAAAACACCAAACCCACCAGAGTGGAGGTTTAGTTGCTTTGAGAACATTTATAGTTTTCCTTAACCAAAGGAAGGTCTCAAATGAAAACATGTATTTTAGTGAATTCAACATTTCTGCTTGCCAAACTGAAGTTTTGTCTTATTAAGCATATATTTAGGTTCTGTATCTTACTGGTCATATTTTTCAAGTAAAATTAAGACCAATCTGTACTATCAGGTATTGTACTTTCTAATTTTGATAAATTTCAAATTAACAATCACTAAAATTTATTAATCTAACTATATGTTTTCTGCTGCTGTTGTTCTTAAGATTTTTTTTTTATCTAACCTTTACACCCGACCTGAGGCTCCAACATACAACCTACAACGTATAACACGGAGATCAAGTGCTGCATGCTTCATCAATGGAGCTGGCCCCGCTCCCCTGTATGTTCCTAAAAGACATTTTAATCAATGATACTTTATCGACAGTAAAAAAACTATCTGAACAAGAACCTAATTATGTGAAGCTTATTTCAGGTCTTATGAATTTTAATTCAGGGCAGTTTTACTGCTGTAACTCAAAAATCACTTATAATGAAAGGAGAATGTTTAAAACTGCCCAATTTCTTTCCACGACTACCAGATTCAGAAAATATGAATAGCAATACTTAAGAAAGTGTTTCAAGCTTCAAGTGATCTAACTTAAGGCATACCATTCTCACCGTTACAATGAATCACATGGTTGAATGACCACAGTTCCTATTTGCAAGCTAGGACTTCAGCACAGAGGGTTTCTTTTTATTTCTCTAACCACAAGACTATTCTCTCTTATTAACACTGGCAAAAGTTCTAGTCAAACTGACTTCTAAATGATCATGATGGTAAGAATAGCTAACATTTACGATGGGGCACTTAATTCTCACAGTGACCCAAGTCACTGTGGCTGAGACATTCAGGTTCGAGAGCCCGCATTCTAAAAAGGTGAGTGAACTGAAAATAGTCCTACTTTCAATATCATTGCTTCCCGATAAAAGATTATTCTTCGCTTACAATTGTGTACTTTCTCACAGTCTATGGTTGATTTAAATACCAGGTGTCTACTGAATTTTAGCGTATCTTCAAGCAACGTGCTCTGCCCACAAATTCTGCAATCCAGTTTTGCCTGATTCTAAACTGCTCTCTCTTGAAGTCCCCCTCTAAGGAGCTTTTATGGCGAAGTGACTTTGAGATCTGGATAATATCCCTCCATCCATCCTCCCACAGCGAAACAACTAAATTCAATTAGAGTAACTCTTCCGACCACTGAGAGTAAGACAGGCCTTTGGGTAAATTCAACACCAAAAGTCAAAAAGCGTAGTCTAATAATGTGCGGGAGGACGCCTTTCCCCTTCTAACCAGGATAAAATGGGGCTCATAAAGAGACAAAAAAAAAAAAACCCAACTAAAAATTGGGGCTCCTGGCTGCGCGAAGGACCACACACGGCGCTCCCGCCCAAGCGTACGGGCACTTCTCCGCGGCGGTAGCGCGTCCTGGGGCTCAGCAACCCTCCTCCAGACACCTAACCTCCACCTTCTCCAGTCCGCTTTCCCGAGGCCCGCGAGAGCGGTCCTAGGAGAGGGGTAGTAGGCCTCATGGTGTGGGACCCAGAAAAGGCCCAGAGGCTGGGCGCGAAAGGCGCCACCCGGGCCCGGTTTGGGGCGGGGGCCGGCGGTTGCTCAGGGAGCAGGCGGGTCAGGAGGTGACGGAAGGAGGAGGGAGGAGGAAAGAAATGGGGGTTGGGAGGTAGCGTCCAGTCCGTGGGCGCAGACAGCTCGGCCAAACCTCCGGCTCCCCTAGTCCCGCCGCCTCCGAGAGCCCTACAGGGCGAGGAGGGAAGTCCACAAAGTGCCGGAGCAGAGGGGAGAAAATTCAAAACGAGTCTACTCAACCTCGTCTTGGCTCCGAGGCCCTGCCATGGAGACCAGCACAATGCGCAGGCGCATCCTTCTGAGAACGCGCAGCGCAGTACTATGACACGAGACCACAATCGGCCACCGTCGTCCGTTTCCCTTCTGATTCGTCTTCACCCCGCCCCGTATTCCCGGATCTAGAGCCTGAAGCTAGAGGCGGGAGTGCTCCTCAAGAGTCGGTAGAGTGATTGGGGGTACGCGTAAGAAAATAAAGCCAAGAAATCTTTAGTAAATTAAAGCTGAAGGCAGAGGAAATACAATAGATATCTGGCTGCAGTTAGGAAGTTTTAAAACGAATAAGATATCTTGACAGTGTGGCAAAAAAGACTACCATTCCCAGTGGTTACTGCGTCTGAGAAGCGCTGCTTTCTGGGGATGGTAGTGTCTAGAAGCTGTGTTTGAAGTATCAGGTCTGAAGACAGCCTCTTAAAATTAAAAAGGGAAGCAGTTTGAATTGGGCCTTCCTGTATCTTCATAATCAAACCCAGGCCTACATATGTTTAAAAAATCTTTAAAAAAATAGGGACACACTGCATTTAAGACATGCTTTATTATCGACGATTCCTTATTTAGGAATAGGTAGTTGATGTGTGTGGGCTGGGTCTCTGTGTGTGAGCAACCTCGTGGTTGCTGAGGAGGCCTGAGGAAAGCGGAAGCCCACTACACGGCCCGCTTCTAGCGCATCTGTGCACGCTAATTTTGAGCTGATTCTTTTTGTAGTCTTGAAAGACCAGAACGCCTGTTGTCTGTTACCCACTTTCGTTTCGGTAGACAATTCTTGTGTATACTTCTCGCCATGGCTCAGCTCCAGGCACGCTTCTTCACTGACAATAAGAAGTAAGTAAGCGTCCCTTTCTTTCCTCTCCTCTTGGCCCCCTTAGATCTTTTCCAAGAACTCCTTCTGTATGACTTTGTGAATTCTCGGTTGTTTTTGCCCACAATTCCTCTCCCTACTCTTTTTTTTTTTTTTTTTTTTTTTTTTTGCTTCACTCTTGACCTAAGCGCGTTTTCCGATAAAGCAGAACTGATACCTGGCCGGGATTTCTCAGGAATCGACATCTGAGATCGCCGATCCTTTTTGCCTCGCTTTTAAGGCTGTATATAATTTGAACTGTGAGTGTAGAGGCATCTAAGGGTCTTCACCTTTGATTGCTGAATGAAGCACATGTAATTTTAACAATGAAGAATGGACCCCTTACAGGCTGCCTGTTAGTGGGGTTTCACAGTTTCTCAAAACACAAGTTTATTTTTTTAGGTAGATGATAGACAGTGCTTTTCCAAACCAGGCTAGAAAGTGGAGTTCTGAATGGGAGTTGGTAGAACTTTTTTTTTTTTAAATGTGTATTTATTTTGAGAGAGAGAGAGAGAGAGAGAATCCCAAGGAGGCCCCATGTACTCAGTGTAAAGCCCAACGGGTTGGATCTCAGGAACCTGAGATCATGACCTGAGCAGAAATAAAGAGTTCTACCGTTAACCGAGGAGCTACCCAGGCACCCCAGTAGAACTAGTTTTTGATAAAGAGTGTAAAGTTCTTTCAGTTACAAGTTTGTGTATTCATATACATACTTATACATGTATGTGTGTGTGTGTGTATATATATATATGTGCATGTTTGGATGTATATATGAATATTTTTGCTAATGGTCCCCAGGTCAGTAGCATTTCTTTCAAACCTAATTGTATTCAATCTTGTGGTATACATTACACTATTAACTTTTCTTAGTGTCTTTCTAGCTATATTGTAAGTCTCTTGATGGTAGGGACTGTATTAATCTTCTTGAATTGATGGAGTCAACAAATGTTTGTCAAGTTCTTCTCATACTCATGATAAATAATGAATATTTGCTGTACTAACAAGTTAATGCCAGTAGTAAGCTAGATAACTCCCACTTTAATTAAAATTATGTCTTTAAGTCTTTGTAGCTTTATGAGTTGACCTAGTAAATCATATTCACTGGTCTTGTATTCTTGCTTACAGTATAGGTAAATTGTATTATCAATGCACATAGTATATATACTTAGTCTGAATATTTCTCAAGGAATGTGGTGCAATACCATGACCACTGTATTTCTTCTAATTGAAGTTTTTTTTTTTTAATATTTTTTAATTTATTTATAGGAGAGAGAGACAGCGTGAGCAGGGGAGGGTCAGAGAGAGAGGGAGACACAGACTCTGAAATAGGCTCCAGGCTCTGAGCTGGCAGTCAGCACAGAGCCGGACGCGGGGCTCGAACCCACGAACCGCGAGATCATGACCTAAGCGAAAGTCGGACGCTTAACCGACTAAGCCACCCAGGCGCCCCTCTAATTGAAGTTTTTATTGAAATAATTGTTGATTCACATGAAGTTTTAAGAAGTAATAGACCATTGTGTCTTAACTCCTGAGATAAATGGATAAACATATATATGTGTATATATGTATTTAAATTCTTCAAAAAGTTAACAAAACCTAAAAATCAAGTTCTTCCTTCTTATACATTATATAAGTAACGGTTATATATTACATATTCTTATATATTATCTAAGAACTGGTAAGTAAAATAAGGAGGATAGTTTTTTCTTGTATGTGTATGTAATTTACATATACATGTGTACGTGAATTATGCTGCTCTCCCCTGCCCTCTCATTTTACTGACCAAATAGTAGGTGAAAGGAAAAACCAAAAACTTTAATTCTAGGTTTTGTTGCCTTTTGGAGATCCTAAGTTACTACTTAAAAAATTTTTTAAGCATAATACATATAAATATAGCTGTAGCCTTACTACTCAAAGTATATTTTGAAGATCAGCAGCATCAAAATCACTTGGGAGGTTTTAGAAAAAGTAGAATCTCAGATTCCACCTCAGACCTACTGATTTACAATCTACATTTTAAGAAGATCTGAAGCCCCCTTTCCTAGCCCTACCCCATAGTAGCAAAAAGAGATTTATTGTATCATGTCTTGATGAGCCCCTAGATTCTACCTTAACATCTTTTGAAACTTCCATTCTCCACAAATATAGCCTTAGACCTTTTTTTGCTTTAGACCTTTTTTTTTTTTTTAAATTTTTTTTTAATGTTTTATTTATTTCTAGGAGAGAGAGAGACAGCATGAGCAGGGAAGGGTCAGAGAGAGAGGGAATCACAGACTCTGAAACAGGCTTCAGGCTCTGAGCTGGCAGTCAGCACAGAGCCCGATGCGGGGCTCGAACCCACGAACCGCGAGATCATGACCCAAGCGAAAGTCAGACGCTTAACCGACTAAGCCACCCAGGCGCCCCTAGACCTTTTTTTGTAGTAACAACTTTATTGAGATATAATTCACTTAGAACAGAATTCATACTTTAAAGTCTCCATTTCAGTGGGTTTGAGTATATTTGCAAAATTGAACAACCAAAACTGCAACTTTAGAACATTTTTTATCACCCTGATTCAGCTATTACCCCCTAATCCTTTCAAACACAGCCCTAGGCAACCACTAATCTACTTTGTATCTTTGTGGATTTGTCTGTTCCACAATGGACAATTCATATAAATGGAATTATATAATTTGTGTTCTTTTGTGACTGGCTTCTTTCACTTACTTAGAATGATGTTTACAAAGTCCATCCACACTGTAATATGTATCAGTACTTACTCCTTTTTAGGGCCAAATAGTATTCCATTGTGTGGATATAACAGCAAATTTTGTTTGCAGTTTTAAAGTAGATGGTCGTTTAGATTGTTTCTACCTTCTGGCTGTTAGAAGGAGTGGTGATGTGAACTTTTGTGTGTAAGTTTTTGTGTGGACATGTATTTTCATTTCTCTTGGATATATACTTAGGAGTAGAGTTGCTAGGTCAAATGGCAATTTCATATTTAACTTTTGACAATAAAAAAAATTCGGGGGGGACACCTTGGTGGCTCAGTCGATTGAGCGGACTTTGGCTCAGGTTCATGGATTCGAGCCCCCACATCAGGCTCGCTGCTGTCAGCCTGTCAGCGCAGAGCCTGCTTCAGATCCTCTGTCCCACTCTCCCTTCCCCTTCCCTGCTTGTGCTCTCCTAAAAATAAGCATTAAAAAAACCATTTTTTAAAATGTTTATTTAACTTTGAGAGACAGACTGAGACAAAGAAGGCATGACCAGGGGAGGGGCAGAGAGGGGGAGACAACAATACAAAGCAGGCTCCAGGCTCTGAGCTGTCAGCATAGAGCCTGATGCTGAGCTCCAACTCGCAAGACCCATGATCATGACCTGAGCTGAAGACTGGGCTACTCAGGCACTGCTTTCATATTTAACCTTTTGAAGAATTTCCAGTGTTTTTACAAAGTAGCTGTACCATTTTACATTCCCATCAGTCATGAATAAGGATTTGAATTTCTTCACATCCTCACCAATGCTTCTGACCTTCATTATAGTCATTATAATGTGAAGTGCTATTTCATTGTGATTTGATTTGCAGATCTTTTTTTTTTTTTTAAGTTTATTTTTGAGAGAGACCAAGCACAAGTGGGGGAGGGACAGGGAGAGACAGAGAACCAGAATTCAAAGCAGGCCCCAGGCTCTGAGCTGTCAGCACAGAGCCTGACATGACATGGGGCTGGAACTCACAGTCAAATCATGACCAGAGCCAAAGTTGGATGCTTAACCAACTGAGCCACCCAGGTGTCCCTGATTTGCATATCCTTGGTGAACAATGATATTGAGCATCTTTTTTCATGTGTCTGTTGAC